ATATTCCAGCAATCTCCCCAAATAGATCGATTTCCTCAATAAAAAAAATTGTAATAAAAAATTCAAACCTTTAACAAACAAACCAGTTATGCAAAAATTGCAAGACTCAAAATACTATTAAGCGAGTGAAGAATTCAGCTATAATTCTACAGCACATAATAAAAGCAAGTCTAACCTTCTATAATTTCCTCCATAGAAATTGCAGTAATTCATCCATAAGAGAATTAATAACAACAAGAAAATGCATATCATAAGCATGTCACTAGTTACATGAATCATCCATATCACACATTCACTTAGAACAAATTAGAAGACCATAAACCAACACACGTTCACAAGAAAACACATTCTTTAACACAGACAAACAAATCAGAACTCAAATTGACCTCTTTTGAACAAGACAAAGTAGCAACAGAACATTGCCGTAACCCATGATTTGATTCAAAACATAATTAAAGCTGAAAGCATTGAAGATTTCATACAATTCCCAACTTTGAAAAAATAGCTTGTATCTCATATCAAAAGTTGTAAAATTATCTAAAAGAAAATGCATCTATCAAACTAGAAAGTCATTAGTCTTTAAACTGTCAAGCAAGGAGACACAAACATGCCTTTCAATCCCTTTGCCCATCATTTTCTTCATTACTTTCATTTTGGCGAAACAAAAGGTGATGGCTTGATTGTGAAGAGGAACGATTATTTGGGGAAAAGCCTTGCCCACTATTAGCATCCGGAACCTACAATTCAGTAGAAAGAAATTAAGGGATAACTAAAATTTTAAAAATTCAATCAAAAGAAATAAAAAAAAATAGATTTCAAAGATTAAACTTAAAAAATAGGGAAACCCGAAAAAAGAGGTATAAGTATGAGATACCTCTTGACGGGCCGCATGTGCCTATTGAAGAATAAAATTCAATGAGTATAGATTTGGAATGAAAATTTAAAAGAACAAAAACAAAACTCACCAAAAACCCACCGCAAACACGCCTAACTTTAGAGATAGAACGATTAGGGTCAATTACTTAGAAAGAAACAAAAAATTAATAGAAATAAAATGGAAGGATCCAGTTGAAAAGATCAAAATAAATAAAGAAAATAAAAACAGAGGAGTGCTAAGGGCACTAGCCTTCTGCACTCTCTGGCTAAAACTTTCACTTTTATTGGGCCACATTATTCTGGTAGTTAAGAGGTTTCACCTCAAAGCCTAAAACAAGCTTACAAGGCCCAATGAAAAGGGAAGTGTTAGCCGGAGAGTGCAAAAGGCGAGTGCCCCTTTCACTACTCATAAAAACAAAAAGTAAAATATGTCACAGCAAAGCTTCGAATGATAAATCTATTTGTCATCGACCAAACCATATATATGCAAGAATACAAAGAAAATGAATGTCAAGTTGTAATGGTTGAACAAAAGAAGTTTACCTCCCTATCCAATATGTTGGCAGCACCTAATTGGTTGGCAGCCTGTAGAATATCTGTGATATTCTCGTTTGGGAATCTTGCCTTCACTAGCTGCATTAATCCACTCAACATATTCTCCACCTCGCTCAACCTTTCCTCAACATTGCCATTTGTGGACGTGGAAGGGACAGATTTTTAGAAGTTGGGACCGTCCCTAAGCAGCGAACCCTTCCTTTCTTGTCAGATCCCTTCACCTTAGATAATACATCATCTTGCCAAGATGTACTTTCCTCTAATGCATTTGTAGAAGAAGTAGACTCACTCATGTAGTTTTTAAGTTGTTCCTATGACATTTAACCCGAAAATAACTCATTATTTTTTTTATACCATGAAGAACAACCCTCTCATATTTAAAACACAGAGTTTGTGTTTACTAACCATCACTTGGCTTGCCTTTTCACTTACAGGTCCCCCTTCCTTTTTTGTTCGACTTTGAATGTAGAGTTCAACCCTTGACAACTTTCTCCCTTCAGCAGAGCTTTCCTGGATAATAAAAAAGCAATAAATAATAAAATTCTAATATACCTTTAAGCAATTATACTAAAAAAAAGAAAGATAGGATAACAATTTAATTTATTACTAATCTAACATCATGCCCTAAATTAATTTCAAATATCACTTGATCAGTATGTACACTGCTTTCTTTAATAAAGTAGCTTGAGCAGAAAAATCAATTACCTTCTCATTGACAAATCGTGCAAAAGTCTTGGTGCCTAGGCAATGGGGCTCTTCCAGTTTTAGCCTGTTTTCTTTATTCTGTTTGCTAATTTTCTGGAAGAAAACAAAAGGTATAAGTT